TGTTCTGCCCATCTAGTGGCACCGAGACCACTTAGAGAGAGAGATAAAATGAGTCTGCTCTACAGCCTTAGCTAACAGCTAGTTGGCTTTAAGCTCATGCTGTAGAGGCTCATGCACTGAGCGCCAGAGGTCTGAGGTTTGATCCTGCCCACTGACGACCGGTCTGTCGGCGTTACCCTGAGCCTTGAAGATTCTCCTTTATTTTTTCCTTCTTTCCTCCTACAAAGCAAATTTTGGAGCCACCATTCTCCCAACTAAGGATAATGGGATGGGATCCCTCTTCAGAAACTGTTTATAGTTCTCCATTATTCATCCAAAAAGGGGGCTATTAAACAAGGCACTTCCTCTACCAGGTGAGCCAAAGGGTCAGCTCTGGGCAGGGCCGGCTCTGGCTTTTTTCCCGCCCCAGGCAAAAAAGCCTCCCAGCGCCCCCCCCACCCCACCCTAGTGTAGCAGGGGAGGGCGCCGAGCCCGGCTGTGGGCCGCTCTCCCCAACCGGCCGGAGTGCAGGGGGGAGGGCGGTGAGCCCGCCGCGGCTCTGCTGGCGGACAGAGTGCCAGGGGGAGGGCGGCGAGCCTGCCGTGGCTCTGCTCTCCCCGGCGGCCAGAGCGCCGGGGGGAGGGCGGAGAGCCCGCCGCGGCTCCACTCTCCCCGGCAGCCAGAGCGCCGGGAGGAGGGTGGAGAGCCCGGCCGGGGCTCCGCTCTCCCCGGCACTCTGGCCACGCTGTGCCGCCCCCCTCCAGGTGCTGCCCGAAGCACAAGCTTGGTGGGCTGGTGCCTGGAGCCGGCCCTGGCTCTGGGAACCAGACTACTCAGGTTGTCTTAATCTGCAAGTTGCTGCCTCTGACATCTGTGAGCGAAGGTTGGGCGCGAGCACCTTCTTTACCCAAACTAAAAGCTATCCGTTTGTCTCCCTACCGAAGTAAGTACCCTGGCCTACAAAGGATAACCTCTCCCTGTGATGCATGTAGCCAGTTCTTATCAGTTTAATAATATCTTTACATTTGTAAGCATCCTGTGTGACACTTTGTCCCCACCTTGTTACAGAGGAGACACCTGCACACTGGGCTCTCATCTGGAGACTTCACTTCTGTTTGAGCTTCAATTAATGCAGATAACAAGAACAAAGTCCTTGCAGACGGACAATGTATTTTCTTTTATTTGGTGTAGTGCATACACCTGTCACTGATGTTCTTCAAGGCACTGTTTGTGGGTGTTACCCCTGTGTATAAACCTCAGGATCTACAGTGAGTTTGGGTTTAGAGCTGGGTGTGGTACAGGGATTGCAATGCACTGCTCGCACTGGTGGATGAGCTGCTATCAGGGTCAAGTGCCCATGCCAATTCTTTCAGACTTGTCGGCTGCATTCAATGCCAGTGACTACAAGGAGTTGTTCTGCCTGGATACCCTGGCAGGGTGGATAGTGCTTCTACTCATGAGCAGCCCTATGTGCTGTACATTTATTTAATGAACGTAGTCCCTTTTTCTGTTCACAAATTATTTGCCAACAGACTTCAATTGGCATGCATTGTTCAAATGGTTCGACAAATACATGTTTTCTGCGAACATACTTCACCCAACAGGTTGTTCACAAACTCTTTGCCACTGCTATTGCTCCAAGTGGTCATTGTTCCTAATTAGCCATTTGGGCTGCATGGTTGGCCATGGCTTTGGCTGGATGGCTTTGTTCTGTTCCTGAGTGAATGACTCCCAAGCCCACTAAGAGATTTCAAAATGGCTGTGTGATACCGCAGAAGCAAATGCTCCAGTGGATACACATTCACACAGACAGTCATGACAGTTTCCCTTTCTGCAAACATTCTTGCTGACAAAATTTCACTGGCGCAAAAGTTTATGCAAAGCAAATAGAAGGCGGCAAATATGAGGATTGGGGCCAAACTTGGGAGGCCTTTGTGAGGTTTTGAGTAAATGTTCCTGAATAATTTCTAGCAGTACACAGCCATCTCCACTCCTTTCTTTGTTGAGATCCCAGGTTTCCCTTGGCTCCCCAAGGTCAGGACTCTCACTGCCTCCCTCCCTGCCTTCTGGTGCTGGTTGAGGCGGGGTGGAATCAGCAGGGAGTCTCTTCACGCACCCCTTACAGGTCTGGGGAGAGGAGCAGCTGGGATTCTCTTTACCCATAGGCCAGGGGTGTCAGCAGAGTCTCTCTCCACACACACCCAAGGCCTGGGGAGATAAGGCTGGGAGCCGAGGAGGAGATGCAGAGGTCTCCAACAACCTCCAATATTTCTAACAACCTCTTCCTGGCCAAACTTCAGGGCCAGTTCTCCATCCTCCTCCTCCTTGACCTATCGGATGCCCTGGACACTGCTGATCACATCTTGAAATCCTGCCATCTCTTGGCTTTTCATGACTACATCCTCTTCTGGTTCTCCTCCTACCTCTCACATTACTCCTTCAGCATCTCAGGAGAAAGTCATTGGCCCTGAGACATGGTAAAGCCTTGCCACAGAGATGAAGAAGTCTCCTGTGTTTCACTGATAACTCATAGGGGTTCTGTAACTAGTAGTTCTGTATAAAGAGTGAGAACCCCTGATAGCAGAGCGTAGGAGGCATTCCACTGTGTTTGGGAAGTGGACTGTAACCTGCTCATTGAAGAGTCTGGCTTTGTGAAGTGATGTAATGTGTGCTGTAATCCTGACCACTGCTCCCCTCTCCTTCCCCAATTGTTTAATTAGCTCTGAAATGACAAACCTGGTCTGCATGCTTGGTCAAGTGGCAACTTTCATTCAGTTGTCGGTGAGAGCAACAGGATGTATCTTTAGGTTCATTTCACACTGGGTCACATCAACCTCAAGTTATTTGCTTCCACTGAAATCCTGATTGTTAGAATCACACCCATTTTTCATCAATGGAAAACTACCAAATAAATATAATATCCATTTTAAAATAAAAAAAATAATGTATGAGACAGTGGCCGTATAGGAAAGAAACACTTTATAATTTTAAATAATCATAATGATCAGACAGCCATAGTAATTGTATTGGTAAGAAAGCATGTATACCCTATGTTTTCATTAAGCTACTATAGGAAAAAGTTTAGAGCAAAGGACTGGCCACCGGGAGAATCAGGTTCTCCTCACAGCCCTACCACAGATTTTGGACAAGTCTTATAGCATTCAAGTCATCAGAATGTTCAAATCTGGGGATCTAAAGCTAGGACCTCAAATCTAGGGGGGAGGGATAACTCAGTGGTTTGAGCATTGGCCTGTTAAGCCTAGGGTTGTAAATTCAATCCTTGAGGGGGCCATTTAGGGATCTGGGGCAAAACTCTGTTGGGGGATTAGTCCTGCTTTCAGCAGGGGGTTGGACTAGATGATCTGCTGAAGTCCCTTCCAACCCTCATATTCTATGATTCTACAGTGGCACCTAAATGAGTGGCTGGATTTGGAGAGGGGGTGACCCATTGAAGTTGATGGGAACAGCAGATGCTTAGCACCTCTGAAAATGAGACCATTGGATGGCAGCCATAGTCTTTTCCAAGCCAATCCTTGCTGTCCCATGGCCTTCATCCCCTCTGACCTGTCCTGCTTCCTGCACCACAGCTGGGCACGTTCTCTCGGTGGCTTCCCTAATGGGGAGCTCCTAATAGCTGCATAAATGGAGTGTTTTAGAAGCTGTACCATGGCCTGAAAAACAAACTACAAACTTCTGCACACCAGGAAATGCACAGTTAAGGTATTGCTGCATATAGAACACAAGCACATATCCTTAATTCTGACCCCTTTAGCCCCCTACCCCGAGCAGTCCCTGAGATTCGTCTTTGTGCCTTTGTCTCTAGTGCCTTTGAGTCCAGTGTGATCTCTGCCAAGCAGCAGCAAGTACTCCCTGAATCAGTGGTGCTGCCCTAAGGATCATGTGTCATGGGGGACTGTATGAATAGGAGTCCCTATTTGGAGCTGTGGTTGGCACAAAGAAAATGGCAATTTTTGTTAGGATGGGCAAGGTATTGGAATGTTCCCAGTTCCCTACCACAGCACAGGAAAGCCCTGTACAGACATTAACTAATTTATCATCACATCAGCCCAGAGCAGCATAGGAATAAGTGTTGTTATCCTCATTTTGCAGGCATTTGCAGGCTTCCTCCAAATCCAAACTCACACAGGCTCCCTCACCCCAATCCACACACAAGGGACAGGGCACAGAGTCCCCCACACAAATTCAGGCTCTCCTAACTCACACAAGCAGCTTGCACTCCTCTGCTCTCCACACAGGTCTTCTCTCTGTTCTCCTCTCCCCCTTTGCCTCTTAGAGCTGCCCCTCCATGTCAGTGCTGCAGGCTCTGTGCTTCCTGCTAGCCTTTGCGGGCTCTGCAGGCTGCAGCCTAGCAGACCTGGCACCAGTAGCCAGGATGGGGAGGGGATGGAAAACAGGAAATGGTTTGGTCCAGGGGCATTAAATGGAGAAAAGCAGCAATAAGAATGCATGTTTTAGGGGAAGAAGAAATGGCTGTTGCATTTTAAGTCCCCAGATGTAGGGTGGGCAGAGTTGGGAGAATCACCAGGGAGGAAAAAAGTTGGGTGTCAGAGAGGGAACGTGCACTACCCTCTACTGTGATAGAGCCTGTGGCTTCACATGACTACTTTGGTAGTAAGCATGGTATCGGGAGATGCTGGGGAGCATGCCCAGTTCAGATGGGGTCTGTGAGGAGGCTCAGTGGGGATGAGGAGCGTGCTCAGTGTAGATTGAAGGTCTGTTGATTTTAGCAGCAAGCCTCTAGCAAACTCTACTGAGTATAATACAGATCCCTAATGGTGATTTTTGCCATTTTCTAACTTGGCCATATCTGAATGGATTTGCATGGGACCAGCAAAAGGCCCCTCTCTGACCTAAGGACTATACCCCTTCCAATTTTCACATCCCTGCTGCAAATTTTGGAGGCTCTAAGAATTCCTACAAAAAAAAAAAACGTTAGAAATGTTTTTATAATGGGACATGTTAGGCAACCTTAACATAGGAGTCAAGGCTACTGTCCTATAATACTGAAAAAGCTGTGCCTTGTGTATGATGGGAAACCTGATAATGTCCTGTTGGCTTCCTCATACCTCAACTTTCCCCACCTGGAGTCACCACTCCTTACCTGAGTTCAGCTATTTAAGCAGAGTAGATGGAACTTAGACGAATGTATTTCAAAGGGAAAGAGGCTGCACTGAATACTGCATTGAATTGTTATGCACCCTACGCTTCGCCTGTCTGAACCAATCCCATTACTATGGCTTCCCTGGGTCAGATCATTTTCTGGAGGTACCGTACAGTCTTTATCTGCTTTTGGAGATAAGGGAGGGAGGGAATTGTTCTGTGTTTATTTAATTATGGGAGGTCTGGGCTCCACTGCCACATCTGGCTATTGTGCTGTCCGCCCTTGGAGACTTTTGTTCAGCTTTGGCAAGGGAATTCTTTGCCGTTTGGCTCAATATCATGCTCTTGGGCTGCTTTTAGTGTTTGTATGTTTTGAGTTGTTGTGTGGAAAGTATGAATGCCAAGCCAGTCATTGATATAAGACATAGACTTAAACTGGTGTAGTCATGCTCCCAGATCCCAATGGGATATAGTTAGTGATTACAGCAAAAATGAAAACTTATTTCCAGTGAAATGAGTAAGTCTTGCTTACAACATTTCAGAGCTGCATGTTATTAGAAGGGAGGGATGTAAATGGCATTGGAGAGCCTCTATATTTCCTCTGTCAGCATTTGGAAAGGTGTGCAAATCTCCCCCAAATCAGTGTATTAAAGAGAGTAATCCACAATCCATACTGCAGTATATTTTCTGTGTCTCTCCGCACAACAGTTCATTCCTGTGTAAGAGCTATGCTGATGAGGAGGTGTCAGGAAAAGAAAAAGGATTTCATCTGTTTGTTCAATAACGCTTCTACCTTTTGATCTATTTGGCAAAGCCACAAATCAAAATCAAATACACACAGAGAATAGATATCCTGGGAGATTCATAACAGGATACAAAGTCTCACACCTAGGTCACCTCCAGGTCAGTAATGGCTTAAAATGATTTATATCAGACAGCAATTTGGTGGCTCCCATGTGAAAATGAATTGGAAGACTCAGTCGAGTTTCTAATGGACAGATGCCAGTCTCATAAAATCACTACCACAAATAGCGCTTTGCTGACTGTCTTTGCAGAGCATGGACATTGAACTCTTTTTCGTCTCCCTAAACATGGCTCTTCTAGGCTGGATTAAAGCGGGTTAGCACAGTGGCATGTAGGAAGCCTATACTAGTATTTATTCTGTTGATAGGACTTCAGTTCTCAAGGCTGTCAGTCCAGCACTAAATTCCCCAGTGGCAGAATGCCCAGTGCATGAAACTCTTAGAACAACCTAGTTCCTGCGAACCTTGCCACATTTTCTTGAATTCCTTGTGTGAGGAATAGCCTCCACTTGCTACGAGATAAATAATCACTGTATATATAAAGCACCTAACCTGGCCTGCCAAGGTGCTCAGGTCACTGTACATCAATTTCATAATAAACTGTGAAAGCAACAATATAATACTCTGTAGTGATAGTAGTATAATGTAATAGCATAAATGTTGAGTGAACGTCTTATTTTCTGTGCATTTGGAACGCACATAACAAGCTGCTCTGTTATTAATGGGCGTGTAGTCCTGACTAACTACCTACAACCAGCCTGACTGGTTTTGTCAGAGGAACAAATGAGCCCTCATCCCTTAATTCTTTCAGAATAACCATACTGGCTGTGTTGGCTAATGTCTGCTTCCTATGGACAGTAATGTCCAGCTGAAGCAGCAGAAGGAGACACCGGAAACTTGCTTCTCAGAAAAGAAGGGCTTCTGAAGGTCCCTACCTCTTATCCAGGGCCGACTCCAGGGTTTTGGCTGCCCCAAGCAGCCAAACAAAACAAAACAAAAAAAGCCGCGATCGAGCTCTGTGGCGGCAATTCGGCGGGAGGTCCTTCGCTCGGAGCAGGAGTGAGGGACCGTCCGCCAAATTGCCGCCGAACAGCTGGACGTGCCGCCCCCCCTCCAAAGTGGCCGCCCCAAGCACCTGCTTGGTAAGCTGGTGCCTGGAGCCGGCCCTGCTCTTATCACTAAGCTTGATGTTTCAGATGGTTAGAAATGGCTAGGGAGAGTTAACTCTTTGCATCCAGGTTAGAACTGGAGATGTAGGGGAATTAAAATCCCTGCTGTTTATCACAAGTCAACTGATCCTCTTTAATTATCAAATGTCCCAAAACTTCTTCAACATAGTTAAAATTGCCCAGCGCTGCCTGGTGCCCTTCCAGAAGGTGGAGAATGGCTAAATTTAAGCTTCTGAAAGCCAGGAAAGCCTTCAGTCACAACACCTTGTGCTCTGGTCCCACTAGAATGGATAACATGGTTTACTGGGGATTGTGCTTGAATACCACACAGCATGAGGTCAGAAATTGAAAGCGTAGTCCACTTTCCCCATCTGGCTAGTAAGAAGTGTAAGGACAGAGCCAGAGATGTCCTATTCTGGCCAGTTACGAATACTGCCATGGAAGAGAAGATCCAAGAGTGGAGAAAGCAAACTGCAAAAGAACCGTTGAAACCATGTGAGATTCCTGATTGCCCTTGCTCATGTTTGGTTCAGATCCATTTGAAGTCAATAGAAAAGATTACCTCTTATTGTGGACTACTACACATTTTTAAAAAATTGAATTGTTGCAAAGCACATCAGGTAGCAGATTGTGAATCACACTTTGTAACTCACTATGGGACTCCAGCTAAAATTAATAAAGGATCAGAGGCAAAAATTTCAAAAGTAACTAGGGATTTGGGGTGCTTTAATTTTTGGATGTTCTATTTAGGGTACCCAAAGGGACTGGCTTTTTCAGAGGGTGAGTACTCGATACTTTCTGAAAATCAGACCCTTTTAAAGGTGTTTCTAGCTGGGCTCCCAAAATTTGAGAAACCCCAAATCACTAGATGCTTTTGAAAATCTCAGTTGCAATTCACTAGAGGTTCTTTTGACAATCCTCTTTGCTATATCAGTTTGTGCCCTGGTGGATTAAGGATTCAGCTAAAACATCTCATCTCACTTACCCTTGGGAGCAGAAGGGTAAAAAGCTTAGTGCCAACATCTAACAAGCTTCTTGAGCTAAAGTCAATTAACCTTGAAGTAGTTGCAAAAGAGCTATTCACTCAGAAGCTGGAAGTCATATTACAACACTTATGCTAAAAAGATTTACCTCAACTGCAAGTAGTAGAATGATTCCAAACAGGGAGTGGTCCAAATTTTTAGAGGAGGATGGCAGGCCTGATTGTTTCTCCGGTATATCTAGGGCAGGGGCCGGTAAACTTTTTGGCCTGAGGGCCGCATTGGGTTTCGGAAATTGTATGGAGGGCCGATTAGTGGAGGGGGTCTGGCCTGGCCCCCATCCCCTATCCGCCCCCCCCCAGGACTCCTGCCCCATCCAAC